TGCGAGAGAGAGAATGAGAGACAGAGAGCATGAGAGGGAGGAGGGTCAGAGGGAGAAGCAGACTCCCTGCTGAGCAGGGAGCCTGAGGTGGGACTCGATCCCGGGACTCCAGGATCATGACCTGAGCCGAAGGCAGTCGCTTAACCAACTGAGCCACCCAGGTGCCCGGCAATTACTGTTCTGATTCCTAATCACCACAGTTTATTTTTGCCTGTTCTAGAACTTCATATAAATGGAAATATACTTTGTACTTTGTTGTGTTTAGCTTATTTTATGTGGTATAATGTTTTTAAGATTCATCCATGTTGTTGTATCTGTTGTTTTGTTCATGTTGCTTTTTTGCTGAGTAATATTCCATTGATCAATATAACATAATTTGTTTATCCTTTCTCCTCTTGATGTACATTTGTATTTTTTCCAGTTTTTGGCTATTAAAATATTCCTGTTATGAATATTTTTTACAACTCTGTATTCAGCATATGTTTTCATTTTTCTTGCTTTAATACCCAGGAGTGTAATTGCTTGGGTCAAGTAAAAGTATATACTTAATTTTCTATGAAACTGCTATACTGTTTTCCAAAGTTGTTGTACTATCTTATACTCATACAGCAATCTATGAGAGTCCCAGTTGCTCCACATTTTTGTTGTCATTGGTATTCTAGGCATTCTAGTGACTATGAAATAGTATCTCATTGTGGTTTTAATTTGCATTTCTTTTATGACTGATGAGGTTAATAATCTTTTTGTTTATTTATTGACGATTCTTACATCATCTTTTGTGAATGTCCAGATTTTTTGCCTATTTCACATAATAGGGTTGTATATCTTATTTATTGTTGTAGAAGTTCTTTATATATCCTAGAAACAAGTCCTTTTTAGATATATTTCAAATACTGTTTCCCAGTCCTTAGCTTGCCTGTTAATTTTTAAAAAAAATTTTTTGTCTTTTCATTTTTAAACTATCTTTTTAAGTGCAGAATATTTTCATTTTAATGAAATCTAGTTTTTAATTTTTTTCTTTTATGGTAGTGCCTTTTGTTTTCTAACAGATCTTTGCCTACCCTGAGATGTTAAGATACTTTAACAAAGATATTCTTTTATGTTTTTCTAAAAAACTTTATAGTTTTGGCTTTTATATTGTGTGAGCCATCTAGTTACTTATGGAGTGTGAAAAGGGACCAAAGTTCATCTTTTCCTCCATCTGGATTTTCAGTTGTTCCGTCACCATTTTCTTAAAAAGACTTAAATTACCTTGGCACCTTTGTCAACAGTTAAGTAATCACTTATATGGAGGTCTATTTCTGGACTCTCTTCTTTTCCATTGATCTATTTGTCTATCCTTAACACCAGTGCCGTACTGTTTTACTATGTCTTTAGAGTGAGTCATGAAATCAAGGTGTAATTATTTCAACTTTGTTCTTTCTCAAGGCGGTTTTGGCTATTCTAGGTTTTTGCATTTCTATATAACTTTTAGAATTAGTTTGTCAGCTTCTACAAAAAAAAAAAAAAAGGCCTGGTTTTTTATTTTTACTGATTTTGATATGACTGGCATTGAATCTGTCAATCACTTTGGGGAGAGAATTTACATCTTAACAGTATGTCATTTTCTAATTTGTGAGCATCATACCTCTTTCTATTTAGGTTTTAAAAATATTTCTCTCTGCAATGTATTTTTCAGTGTAGAGACCTTACACATTTTTAAATTTATTCCTAAATATTTTATGTCTCCTGATGCTGTTGTAAATAATTTTTTCTCAATTTTGTTTTGCATTTGTTCTTCCCAAAATACTTAAAGACTGTTCTTTGTGTGGAACTGTCCCATACTTTTCAAGGAGTTGAGCATTCTTGCACCTCTCCCAATAAATAACAGTAATGCTGTCCAGTCATCATGACAGCAAAAACTCCCCAGACATTTCCAAGTCTCTTTGATGGAGACTGGAGACGGACTGGTAACAACTTGGTTAAAAATCACTGGATTGGGGAAATTGGCCCCATTGTAGTGGCCATTACCTTGAAATCCAAAATAGTACTGAGATTTTCTACCATTTTAGGGATACATTATAATTCTGTTCTTCCAGATTTGTACAGGGCATTATATAACTTTATACACAGCCGTTCCACCTTTAGAAAATCTGTATTTAGCACTATTCCAGAAGAAGTGAAAAAATATAAACTGATTGATAGTGTTGTATGAAATAGTGGAAAGAAAGGGTCCTGGCGAGAAGGAGACCTTTTCTGGGGCAATGTTTTCATGAAACTACTCCTGTAAAGCCAAAATAAAGGAATCCTAAAATTCTTTTATCTTTATTTTTACACATAGGACATTTTAATCTCTTTTAAAGAGTTGGGTACTGTAGCTTTTGCTTTAAAACTAGCTTTTTGGTATGAGTTCTTAGTCCTGTATGCCTTGGAAATTTTTTATGTTATTTCATTATTTGACACATGGTAGGTGGTCATTAAATATTTTGATAAACTATTTAGGACTACCCTGTTTGCTGTCTTTACATTCTAATTGGTTGCTTCAAAAAATATTACGTTAGGAAAATAGTATTACGGGTAATATCGTCACTGTGTTAAAATGGTTTAGTATTTTAGAATTAATAGTTGATCTTTTTTTTTTTTTTTTGAAGGCACAGCAGCAACGCCACGAAAGAGACTTGGCCCTTTTGAAATTGAAGGCTGAACAAGAGGCTTTGGAGTGTCAGAGACAGTTAGAAGAAACCCGAAACAAAGCAGCTCAGGTACTTATGTTTGCAGCAGGCACTGGTTCTTTAAATCTAAATTTGTATCTTTGAAATCACTTTGGTATTCTTTTAATTATATAGGAGTAAAAAAGAAAAGATACAATAATGCTTTAGTACATTATGCCATTATGGGTTAATTTCATGTCATTTGACTCTTGTAGCAATCCTGTGAGTTAAGTTAGTCAAGATTTATCCCCAATTTAGAGAAGTGGAAGCTGAGGTACATAGTAGTTACTTGCCTAAAGAAACATCAGCTCATGAATGGTGGAATTAAAAATTAAACTCCAGCAGTAATTTTATGACTCTAAACTCTAGATTTTAAGACATGAAATCCAGATGATAGTCAAGTGTTTTTTTTTACAAGGCATTTGAGCCTTGAAACACTTGGGGTGGGGAGAGACTGAGACATAACAGAAGTTCTCTTTTTTACTCCCTTTTATTTTCAGGTCCATGCAGAATCCATACAGCAGGTGGTCAAATCACAAAGGGAAGTAACTGAGGTCCTGCAGGAAGCAACTTGTAAAATAGCCGCTCACCAAGCAGACACTGCTCGCCTCACCACAGATGCGGCTCGCCAAATCTGTGAAGTAAGGCTATTGAGAAACCCTTTTCTTTTTAGTCAGTCTGAATAGATTTGGTCTTAGGAGTTTCTAACATCTAGCAAATACGTACTTTTGATTGGTGACTTTCAGTGGGAGCCATACATTATTGAATTAGGAGGCATCATTTATTGCAGTATGTTGTACGTGTGAGTGATACAGAGGCAGAAAAAATAGAGAACTCTTAATGTCTGCCCTTGAGTAAGCTTTTTAAAAATGTGTTGATTTTATTGATGTGTAATTTACAGACAATAAAATATATCCATTTTAAGTATATTATTTGATGAGTTTTGACAAATATATAGGTATAGGTATCTAATCAGATATACGTATCTATATCTACATATTTCTGTGTCTTATCTATCTGTCCATCCCTATAAACACCACCATAATCAAGAAATAGAATACAGTTGAATCTTGAACAACATGGGTGGAAACTGTGAGGGTCTGCTTACGTGCTCAGTTTTTTTTGACAAATACAGTACAGTACTATAAATGTAATTTTTCTTCCTTAGGATTTTCTTAATAACATTTTCTTTTCTCTAGCCTACTTTATTATAATAATACAGTATAAAATACATAAAATGTATAAGATATGTGTTAATCAACTGTTTATGTTATGGATAAGGCTTCCAATCAACAGTAGGCTATTTAGTAGTTCCGTTTTGGGGGAAATAGAATTTATCCACGGATTTCGGCTGCTTGTGGATTGGCACCCCTAACCCCCATGCTGTTCAGAGATAACTGTATTTCCAACACTAAAAAGTTTCTTCATGCCCCTATCCAGTCAGTCCCCAACTTCAGTCCCAGGAAGCCATTGATCTGCTTTTATGAAGATGATTCCTTTTCACCTACAGTGATGTTAGTGTCTTGTCTTTTACTGTACCAAGGATAAAGCCAGAGATAGTTTTACTGTTGTCTGTATATGGAATATCATAATCTATAGCTGTAGTTTCAGTTTATTTTAGCTGGTACAATTTAGGATTGTTTGTGAAATGATTCTGTTATTAATATTAAAAAGTCAGGAACCTACTGGGTTGGGTACTATGGGATTGTGCAAATAAGTGTAGATTCTTTTAAGAAAATTTTAGACAACATTAGCAAAGATTTCAAAAACACTTCAAGTTGTCAAGGCAGTGATTGAATGAACACCAAATGAATAATACATGCAGCAGTTGCAGTAGTGGCGAAGGGTAGGGAAAATACCTCACATTTTAAGTCAGAAAACAGATATAGGAAGTAGTAATTCAGTTGATTCTTAAGATTTATTTTTGGTGGGGCGCCTGGGTGGCTCAGTTGGTTAAGTGACTGCCTTCAGCTCAGGTCATGATCCAGGGTCCTGGGATCGAGCCCCACGTAAGGCTCCCTGCTCAGCAGAGAGCCTGCTTCTCCCTCTCCCTCTGCCTGTTGCTCTGCCTTCTTGTGCTCTCTATCTCTCTGTCAAATAAAATCTTAAAAAAAAAAAAGAAGATTTATTTTTGGTTTATTATGGCTTATTATATGACTTGAAGATTTTGCTTTAATTCATAGGTTGCTATAGCTAGATGAAACCTTAGAAATCTTGTGGTCCATCCAACTCTTTATTTTTATAAGGAAGCTGTTGAGACTTAAAAAATCTAAATGACTTGCCCACAGTGTTTTACCTATTAATGGCAGAATTTATTTGGTCTTAATCCAGTGATCTTTCAAAGACACTGTGCTCCTTCTCAGTTTTCTGTGATTTTTTTTTTTTCATATCTACTTTTGCCTTGTGTGTGTTCTTATTTAGATGGCAGAGTTGACTCGAACTCATATCTCAGATGCCATCACTGCTTCAGGAGCTCCCCTGGCAACGCTATACGACCACCACCGACAGCATGCTCCAGACTTTGTGAAACAGCTGAGGACCAGAGCTGAAACAGATAGGTTAATATTCAGTCGTTCAGCTAATATGCAATGAGTATCTCCTCTGTCCCAGGCACTGTTGTGGGTACTGGGAATATAGTTATGGGCATACAGTGTAGTGGGGAAGGTAGATATTGTAATCAGATATTCACTTAAGTGAATGAACACTTACAAACTGAGACAAATATTATGAGAGAAAAGAACATATACCCTGAGACATATAACAAAGGAATTTGAATAGACTGGGGGTACAGCAACATCAGAGAAGGTTTTCCTGTGGAAGGAAAGCTTATGGTGAGATCTAATGGATGAAAAGGAGTCTGTGATTAGATAAAGAATAGGCAGGTCAGTAGGAAGAGAAAATGAGGGAAGAATGTGACTGGAGGCAGAGAACAAAGGGGAGAATGGTAGGAGATGATGCAGGGATCAGATTATGGTAGGACATTGCAGACCTTGCGGATTTTGGAGTTTATTCTAGGAACAATGAAAAGTCATTAGTTTCTTAGGCAGCCTGGGTGTTGTGATCATGTTTGTGTGTATTTTTTTACATCACATTTCAACTGTCTCGAATTCATAGATTTAAGTCCTTATTCACATTTATTGATACTTCGGGTGATATGTGTTTATTTCTCATAAAGCAAAAGATACTCTTTTCTATGAGTGAATGTCTTTCTTAAATACTTTGTTATAGCTATTTCATAATTTCTATTTATTCAAGATTTTATCTCATATTAATATTAAATGACATTTAAAATCCTTCTCTTATAAGAGACTTTAAATGTTTAATCAGTTTTTATTCTCTTTGCAGGAAAAGTCAATCTGTTTCACTCTCTCAGAGTAAAGAAGGGACCCTTGACTCAAAGCATCAGAAGTATTCCCCTTCATTTGATAGTTATTCTGAGTCTTCAAGATACAAGAATCATGATCGAAGGTGAAAACACTTTGATTTAGTAAAATGTGATAAATGGCTTAGACATTGCTTTCTTTTTTTACTTCTTAATCTCATTTCTTTAAATAAAATAGTGTCTTCCCTTCAAAGTTCTGACTTTCCCCTATTTGACTAGCTGATTTATAAAATAGTTGTTCTGTGTAATAATGTAACTACCATTCCTTGAGAGCCTGCCTTGTATAAGCTCCGTGTCAATTTCTTTTTCCTGCATTTAATCTTCACGACAACCTTCCAAGACAGATATTGTCCTCTTTTTATAGTAGGGAACAGAGGCTCATGGAGTTGCTAAGAAACTCACCTAAGGTCACGTAGATAGTAGCACACCAAGGAATTGAACCTTGGTTTATCTGGCTCCAAGGCCTATGTTTATTGGGCATTGCTTTGCTAACATCCATATTTCTTGACATTACTGTATGTACTAATTGTTATAATTATAAAAGAAGATCGAATACTTTGTCATTGGTTCCTTTTTTTTTTTTTATTTTTTATTTATTTGCGAGAGAGAGAGAATGAGAGACAGAGAGCATGAGAGGGAGGAGGGTCAGAGGGAGAAGCAGACTCCCTGCCGAGCAGGGAGCCCGATGTGGGACTCGATCTCGGGACTCCAGGATCATGACCTGAGCCGAAGGCAGTCGCTTAACCAACTGAGCCACCCAGGCGCCCCTTTGTCATTGGTTCTTGCATGGTATTAACATCTGTAGTTTTCAATTATGGTTCTATCCTTGGATTAGAAGATTTTCGAAGCTCCTTTTCCATCATTCTTAGAGGTAGGATACCTACATTGTCAAAGTAAAACCTCATTTAAAAAATTAAATCATGAGACTAAAAAACATTAGTGTGGGGTATTAAGTACCTACTATATCTCTGGAACTATGTGAGTTTCATTTGACCTTCACTGACAGTTCATTGAGGCTGTCAGCTGGGTTACTACCGGGGATTCCTCATAGTTATCCCAATCTCTTCCCAAACCATTCCCTAATCTCTTCACTAACTACTTGGTAACTAGAGTGATTTTTCTAAAATTTGCAGCCAATTTGTTACCTGTTTGAAACCTTCAGTATTCCTTTAGAGCCACTCACTTGAGTGGAGTAGAGCATTTATTATTGAGGCTTTGGTCCATCTCCAGCCCTGTCTCTTGGCATTTCCCCTCTTATCATATTCCACTAATTATAACTACTCTAATGTAATTCTCTAATAAAAGAGCCATGCTCTCTCTCTCTTTTGTGCCATTACATATGATATACCTTCTATTTTTTAAATTTAAATTCAATTAATTAACACATAATGTACTATTTCAGATTTAGAGTTTAGTGATTCATCACTCATATAATACCCAGTACTCATTACATCACATGCCCTCCTTAATGTCCATCACCCAGTTACCCCATCCCCCCACCCACCTCCCCTCCAGCAACCCTCAGTTTGTCTTCTATGCTTGAGAGTCTCTTATGGTTTGTATCCCTTTCTGATTTCATCTTGTTTCATTTTTCCCTCTCTTCTCCTATGATCCTCTGTTTTGTTTCTTAAATTCCACATATGAGTGAGATCATATGATAATTGTCTTTCTCTGATTGACTTATTTCACTTAGCATAATACCTTCTAGTTCCATCCATGTCCTTACAAATGGCAAGATTTCTTTCTTTCTTTTTTTTTTTGATGGCTGAGTAGTGTTCCATTGTATGTATATACTACATTTCCTTTATCCATTCATCCGTTGATGGACATTTGGGCCCTTTCCATAGTTTGGGTATTGTGGACATTGCTGCTATAAACATCGGAGTGCACGTACCCCTTCAGATCCCTACAATTGTGTCTTTGGGGTAAATACCTAGTAGTGCAATTGCTGGGTCATAGGGTAGCTCTATTTTCAACTTTTTGAGGAACTTCCATACTGTTTTCCAGAGTGGCTGTACCAGCTTGCATTCCCACCAACAGTGTAGGAGGGTTCCCCTTTCTCCGCATCCTCGCCAACATCTGTCATTTCCTGACTTGTTAATTTTAGCCATTCTGACTGGTGTGAGGTGGTATCTCATTGTGGTTTTGATTTGTATTTCTCTGATCCTGAGTGATGTTGAGCATTTTTTCATGTGTCTGTTGGCCATTTGTATGTCTTTGGAGAAATGTCTGTTTATGTCTTCTGCCCATTTCTTGATTGGATTATTTGTTCTTTAGGTGTTGAGTTTGATAAGTTCTTTATAGATTTTGGATACCAGCCCTTTATGTGATAAGACACTTGCAAATATCTTCTCCCATTCTGTCAGTTGTCATTTGGTTTTGTTGACTGTTTCCTTTGCTGTACAAAAGCTTTTTTATCTTGATGAAGTCCCAGTAGTTAATTTTTGCCCTTGCTTCCCTGGCCTTTGGTGATGTGTCTAGGAAGAAGTTGCTGCGGCCGAGGTCGAAGAGGTTGCTACCTGTGTTCTCCTCTACAATTTTGATATGTCACATTTAGGTCTTTCATCCATTTTGAGTCTATTTTTGTGTGTGGTGTAAGGAAATGGTCTGGTTTCATTCTTCTGCATGTGGCTGTCCAATTTTCCCAACGCCATTTGTTGAAGAGACTGTCTTTTTTCCATTGGACATTCTTTCCTGCTTTGTCAAAGATAAGTTGACCAGAGTTGAGGGTCCATTTCTGGGCTCTCTATCCTGTTCCCTTGATCTTTGTGTCTGTTTTAGCTTGAAGTCCGGCATTGTGATGCCACCAGCTTTGGCTTTCCTTTTCAACATTCCTTTGGCTATTCGGGGTCTTTTCTGGTTCCAAACAAATTCTAGGATTATTTATTCCAGCTCTGTGAAAAAGTTGATGGTATTTTGATAGGGATTGCATTGAATATATAGATTGCTCTAGGTAGCATAGACATTTTAAGAATATTTATTCTTCCAGTCCATGAGCATGGAAGGTTTTTCCATTTCTTTGTGTCTTCCTCAATTTCTTTCATGAGTATTTTATAGTTTTCTGAGTACAGACCCTTTGTCTCTTTGGTTAGGTTTATTCCTGGGTATCTTATGGTTTTTGGTGCAATTGTAAATGGGATCGACTCCTTAATTTCTCTTTCTTCTGTCTCATTGTTAGTGTATAGAAATGCAACTGATTTCTGTGGATTGATTTTATATCCTGCCACTTTGCTGAATTCCTGTATGAGTTTTAGCAATTTTGGGGTGGGTCTTTTGGGTTTTCCACATAAGAGTATCATGTCATGTGCAGAGAGTGAGAGTTTGACTTCTTCTTTGCCAATTTGGATGTCTTTTATTTCTTTTTGTTGTCTGATTGCTGAGGCTAGGACTTCTAGTACTATGTTGAACAACAGTGTAGTGGACATCCCTGCCGTGTTCGTGACCTTAGGGGAAAAGCTCTCAGTTTTTCCGCACTGAGAATGATACTTGCTATGGGGTTTTCATAGATGGCTTTTATGATATTGAGCTATGTTCCCTCTATTCCTACACTGTGAAGAGTTTTAATCAAGAAAAGATGCTGTACTTTGTTAAATGCTTTTTCTACATCTATTGAGAGGATCATATGGTTCTTGTCCTTTCTTTTATTAATGTATTGTATCACATTGATTAATTTGCGGATGTTGAACCAACCTTGCAGCCCAGGAATAAATCCCACTTGGTCGTGGTGAATAATCCTTTTAATGTACTGTTGGGTCCTATTGGCTAGTATCTTGGTGAGAATTTTTGCATCCATGTTCATCAGGGATATTGGCCTGTAATTCTCCTTTTTGATGGGGTCTTTGTCTGGTTTTGGGATCAAGGTAATGCTGGCCTCATAGAACGAGTTTGGAAGTTTTCCTTTCATTTCTATTGTTTGAAACAGCTTCAGAAGAATAGGTATTAATTCTTCGTTAAATGTTTGGTAGAATTCCCTGGGGAAGCCATTGGGCCCTGAACTCTTGTTGGGAAATTTTTGATTATTGCTTCAATTTCCTTGCTGCTTATGGGTCTGTTCAGGTTTTTTCTTTCTTCCTGTTTTAGTTTTGGTAGTTTATACATCTCTAGGAATGCAGCCATTTCTTCCAGATTGCCTAATTTGTTGGCATGTAATTGCTCATAATATGTTCTTATTTAATTGTATTTCTTTGGTGTTGGTTGTGATCTCCTCTTTCATTGATGATTTTGTTTATTTGAGTCCTTTCTCTTTTCTTTTTTATAAGTCTGGCCAGGGGTTTTTCAGTTTTATTAATTCTTTGAAAGAACCAGCTCCTACTTTTGTTGATCTGTTCTACTGTTCTTTTGGTTTCTATTTCATTGATTTCTGCTGTAATCTTTATTAATTCTCTTTTCCTGCTGGATTTAGGCTTTATTTGCTGTTCTTTCTCCAGCTTCTTTAGTTGTAGGATTAGGTTGTGTATTTGAGACTTTTCTTGTTCCTTGAGAAAGGCTTGTAGTGCTATATACTTCCCTCTTAGGACCGCCTTTGCTCCATCCCACAGGTTTTGAATAGTTGTGTTTTCATTTTCATTTGTTTCCATGAATTTTTTAAATTCTTCTTTAATTTCCTGGTTGACCCATTCATTCTTTAGTAGGATGCTCTTTAACCTCCATGTATTTGAGTTCTTTCCAACTTTCCTCTTGTGATTAAGTTCCAGTTCAAAGCATTGTGGTCTGAAAATATGCAGGGAATGATCCCAATCTGTTGGTACTGGTTGAGACCTGATTTGTGACGTAGTATGTGATCTATCCTGGAGAATGTTCCATGTGCGCTCAGAAGAATGTGTATTCTCTTGGCTTTAGGATGGAATGCTCTGAATATTATCTGTGAAGTCCATCTGGTCCAGTGTGTCATTCGCAGCCCTTGTTTCCTTGTTGATCTTCTGCTTAGATGATCTGTCCATTGCAATGAGTGGGGTGTTAAAGTCCCCTACTATTATTGTTAATATCAATATGTTTCTTTAATTTTGTTATTAATTAGTTTAATTGGCTGCTCCCATTTTAAGGGCATAAATATTTAAAATTGTTAGATCTTCTTGTTGGATAGACCCTTTAATTATGATATAGTGTCCTTCACCTTTTATTACAGTCTTTGGTTTAAAATCTAATTTGTCAGTATAAGGATTGCTACCCTAGCTTTCTTTTGATGTCCATTAGCATGATAAATGGTTTTCCACCCCCTCACTTTCAATCTGCAGGTGTCTTTGGGTCTAAAATGAGTCTCTTGTAGTGCTCGCTTCGGCAGCACATATACTAAAATGAGTCTCTTGTAGACAACATGTTGATGGGTCTTGCTTTTTTTAGCCAATCTGATACCTGTGTCTTTTGATTGGGGCATTTAGCCCATTTACATTCAGAGTAACTATTGAAAGATACGAATTTAGTGCCATTGTCTTACCTGTAAAATCACTGTTTCTGTATATTGTCTCTGTTCCTTTCTGGTCTGTCTTACTTTTGGGCTCTCTCTTCACTTAAAAGATCCCCTTTAATATTTCTTGCAGGGCTGGTTTAGTGATCACAAATTCTTTTAGTTTCTGTTTGTTCTGGAAGCTTTTTATCTCTCCTTCCATTCTGAATGACAGCCTTGCTGGATAAAGTATTCTTGGCTGCATATTTTTCTCATTTAGCACCCTGAATATATCATGCCAGTCCTTTCTGGCCTGCCAGGTCTCTGTGGATAGGTCTGTTGCCAATCTAATGTTTCTACCCTTGTAGGTAATGGACCTCTTGTTCTGAGCTGCTCTCAGGATTTTCTCTTTGTCTCTGAGATTTGCAAGTTTCACTATTATATGTTGAGGTGTTGACCTATTTTTATTGATTTTGAGGGGGGTTCTCTGTGTCTCCTGGACTTGAATGCCTGTTTCCTTCCCCAGATTAGGGAAGTTCTTTCCTATAATTTGCTCCAATATGCTTTCTGCCTCCCCCTTTCCTCTTCTTCTGTGATCCCAATTATTCTAATACTGTTTCGCTTTATGGTATGCCTTATCTCTCAAATTCTCCCCTCGTGATCCAGTAGTTGTTTATCTCTCTTTTTCTCAGCTTCTTTATTCTCCATCATTTTGTCTTCTGTATCACAAATTCTCTCTTCTGCCTAATTTATCCTAGCAGTTAGAGCCTCCATTTTTTATTGCATTTCCTTAATAGTCTTTTTTATTTCAACTTGATTAGATTTTAGTTTTTTTATTTCTCCAGATAGAGATTCTCTAGTGTTTTCTATGCTCTTTTCAAGCCCAGCTCGTATCTTTATAATCAGTATTCTGAACACCAGTTCCAACATCTTACTTATATCCATATTGATTAGGTCCCTGGAAGTCAGTACTGCCTCTTGTTCTTTTTTGAGGTGAGTTTTTCCATCTTGTCATTCTTGCAGAAAGTGATCGCTTTTCTATTTGTGGAGTTATAGCTATTTTCTTAGATCTCCGGTTGAGTTCACAGGTGTTCAGAATGATTTAGTAGCTATCTGGCTGAATTCCTGGGCCCAGATAAAGCTAAGGTCTCCTATTCCTCTGCCATCTTGGACTCTTCCAAGATATAGCTTCTTTCTAGACGTACTGTTTTGGTGGTCTATTTCATTTAGTTTCCTTTTGCTCCCCTCTGAGTCGGTGTTACCCATAGTCTGTTTTAGATATTCCTTCTATGTTCTCCTGTAATACTCCATATATAACTCTTAGAGCCTTTACCACCTTCTATCCTGTTCCTTTACTTTTCAGTTATGGACTACACTAGAAATCCTTTGAGGTCTTCATTTTCATCACCCCCAAAAAAAGGCCTCTACCCATTAGCAGTCATTTCTTATGCCCTCTCTTCTTCATCTTCTGGCAGCTACTAATCTACTTTTTATTTCTGTTCTCTGTGGATTTGTCTATTTTGGACATTTCATATAAATGGCATCATACAATGTATGGTCCTTTATGACTGGTTTTTTGACTTAGCATAATGTTTTTAAGGTTCATCTATCACATATTAGTATGTTATTCCTTTATATGGCCAAATAATACTCTTTTGCATGGATATCCCACATTTTATTTACCGTCAGTTGATGGACATTGGATTGCTTCTACTTTTTGACTATTATGAATAGTGCTGCTACGTACATTTATGTACAAGTTTTTGTGTGAACATAGGTTTTCATTTCTTTTGGGTATACACTTAGAAGAGGGATTGCTGGGTCATATAATAACTCTGTTTAATTTTTTGGAAAATTGCCACACTTTTCCAAAACAGCTGCTCCACTTCACATTCCCATAAAAATATAAAATTATTTTTACATCCTCACCAACATTTGTTATTGTCTCTCTTTTTTATTATGGCCATCCTAGTGAAGACTGTCTATACTGCTATCCCCAGAACTTAGCAAAATACCTAGCACACAGTAGACAGTTTACTACATGTTTACCTAGTGAATCATTGGCACATAACTGTTAAGTGGAATAATTGAGATTAATTCCATATTCTTTTGACTCCAAAGCACTTGCTCTCTCCTGCATTATATCTTTTACCTTATAGCTATATTATATGGTTTATACTTTCCAAAACGTTTATTAAACGAGACAAATAATTGCACAATATTCTGATAAATACTATCATAGAAGCATACAAAATAAAACAGTATAAACACAGAAAAGTGACCAAACCTTCCTTGGGAGTGGGAGAAGGTATCCGCAAGCACTTTGCAGAAATGATACTTGAACTGAGTCTTAAATCAAGGAGGCAGAACAGCCTTAAATAGGAAGACAGGGAAGGAAGGGCATTTCAGAAGAGGAGATAGCTTATGGAGTGGATCTCAAAACATGGCTTGTGATTGGCTCACTCTCTCTATATATATTTAAATGAATGAATAAACTAAGGAAAGCAAAGGGGGAGGAAGAAAAACACTGACCTTATACGCAGCTAATGAATCATTGAACACTATATCAAAAACTAATGATATACTATATGTTGGCTAACTGAACATAATAAAAAAAAATAAAAGAGAAAACAAGTTCACTAAGCATTTGGAAACTTGAGGCTTAAAGTCAGGGGAAGGGCAAAAGTAGTTGGTATAGGTTTAAGGCTCAATCTAAATGATACTAGTTAAAATTACAGCGATGCATAAGATTGCCAAGGGACAGTATGTAGCATAAAAGAGAAAGAGACCAAAAACAAAACACTGGGAATCACCATCATTTTAAGGAAAGCCAGGAAAATTCAAACGATATAAAAGAAACAGAAAAACTGGTTTGGGAGATAGAAAAGCAGGTGAGAGTAGAACAAGGAGTGTAAGAAAGGAAGGTCTTTTATTTAACATTTAATTTTGATTTAATTTCAAGCTTACAGAAATGTTGCAAGAATAATACAGAGTTCCTAAATATTTTTTTATCCTGATGTTAACATTTTACTACATTTGCTTTAGCTAGTGGAGCTTTTAAAGAAGGAGGTAGAGATCAACACCGTATAATGTTGCAGAAAAATTATCCATTGGATTTGGGAATTCAAGTTTAGGTAGAGGTTGAAAGGACAATTCCAGTAGAGTAGTTGGGATTGAAGTAGATTTTGATAAGTTGTGATGTTGATGAAAAGTAAGGGAGTTGAAACAGCCAAATAGAAGCCCCTTTTCCTAGTATTTTGATTTTTAAATGAAAGGAAAAGGGGAAGTGGTAGCCTGAGAATAGTGCTTACTTATCATGGCTATTTAAGAGTGAAACCTTCCTCTTTTCTACAACTGTTTCTTTTCAGACTTCTGTCTACTTAGCATTTTATGTTTTATGTTACTTGTTTCATCATTTCATATCTTGATCATGAGGCACATTCCCCTTGCCAAATAAATTTACTTTGAATTTATGAACCTTATTTTATCACCCTTTTTCTTTTTTGTTTGTTTCCATAATATCTATAAACAGAAGTAGTAGTGGTAGCAGCCGTCAAGAAAGCCCTTCAGTTCCATCTTCTAAGGAAAATGAGAGGAAACTTCATGGTGAAAAGATGGAGAGTTCTATTGATGAACAGGTTCAGACTGCTGTGGATGATTCTTTACGAAGTGACAGTGTGCCATCTCTTCCTGATGAGAAAGGTAACATTCCTTGCGTTTGTATATACAGTTATTTGTTTGGGAGGCTTCCAGAACCCTTTGACATATTTGTGACTGAGCTAGTTAATATAATTAGAACATGGTTGTGTGTGTGTGTGTGTATTTGAATCTGATACTAAGTGTATCCAGGTGAAACTATTTCAAAGCTATACATTATGCCAGTAACCCTTGCCAGTATTTTAAACACGATTGTGTGTCATGATCCTAAGGGGAGGCAAAACTAAACCTAGGAGAGCATACTTGTGAATGGAAAATAGATATTCAAAAAAATTACTTTTATCCTATCATCAATATATAACATAATCATAAAAAAGAGAATACATTATTAGAACTTTAAATTTTAAGCAATATAAGGATACAGTTTCTTATAAATAATGACAACATTAGATATAGCAACTAGATTAAAATTCATTAGTTCTTTCTAGATCGTAGGTGTATCCTTATCAAATCATGGGTAGTAGACAGTATAATTAAGAAAACAGAATTTGGCAACAAATGACACCTTTAAGAATTTTTTTTAAATGACTGGCTCTTAAGCAGTGTATTTCATTGATGGCCTAGAGAACTGTAGTCTTCAGAGCAGGATGGGCAAGACAGTCTTTAAAGGGAAAGAAGATGTTTAAATAATGATTTTTTTCTCATCCTTTAAATTTGTTTGTAAATTTTATAATGAATGTAATTTATGGGTATAGTAGTCTATATTTAATGAATAATTAACAATAGAGATCTTGTTACCCAGAAGTAATTAATACCACCTGGCTAATGAATATAGATCTTGTTATGCAGAAGTGGGGTGTTCCTATAACAAATGCCAAATATGTGGAAGTGGCTTTAGAACTGGGTAATGAATAGAGACTAGAAGAGTGTTGAGGTACATGCTAGAAAAACCCCCATTGCCTTGCCCCCAGATCCTGTTGGCAGGAATATGGATGGTTAAAATGATTAAAATATGGTTAAAAATGATTCTGATAAAGTCTGATGGAGATGGAAATTAGGAATATATTATTGGAAACTGGAAGAAGGTCAGTCCTTGTTCTAAATTGAGAAAGAATTTGGCTGAACTGTGTTTCTAGTGTTTTGTGGAAAGTGGAAGTTAAAAGTGATGAACATGGATAGTTAGCCAAGGGGATTTCTGAGCAAAGTGTTGAAGGCATGGCCTTGGTTTCTCCTTATTGCTTTTAGTAAAATATGAGAGGAGAGATAAATTGAAGGAATTGTTAAACGAAAAGGAACCAGAACTTGAAGATTTGGAAAATTCTCAGGCCATCCATGTTGTGAAAAATGAAAAAGCATGTTGTGGACAGAACACCAAGGATGTGACTGGACAATCACTCCGTAAAAAGATTATCCATGGATCTAAGCAGCCATCTCAGCAGAAGCCAGTAATAGTAGAGATGGGATTATACCGGCAGAGGCACTGCCAATTTGGACGAAAGAGCACAGAGATGGGATGAACTTTTGGACTTCTGGGATTCTACCAGATGAGACAGTAGAGCTAGGCTGTGAACATGCCTTATCCTTCCAAAAAAGGGAAGAATGACCCGAGATCAGCAGGGCAGCCACCGCCACCACAGGCCCAGGCCTACAAGCCCAGATGGCAAGGCTCCCTCACTGATTTCAGAGCGTGGGGCCACCTCCTTGGTTTCAGTTGTCCAGGTTGCCCTGGCTTACGGCCTCAGGAGCAAAGCACTGCCAGTGGCTGAGGGGATGGTACTACCACACAGGGTTGAGAAGGCAAGCCCACCCCAGTGGGCCGGAGGGCAGAACATCCTTCCAAAGAGGTCCATTCTTCAGCCTTCAGAGCTAATGGAATTTGCCCTGCTAGGTCTTGGACTGGCTTGAGACCCATCACCCCCTTCTGATTTCTCTCTTTTGGAATGGGATTGTCTATTTTATGCCTGTCCCACTCTTGTATTTTGGAGGCACATATCTGGTCTTGTTTCACAGGTTTGCAACTAAAAAGGAATTTTGCCTCAGGATGAATCACACCTCGAGTCTCACTGATACCCGATTTAAATGATATTTAGATGATACTTTAGACTTGTAGTTGGTGCTGGAATGGGTTTAGACTTTTGGGACTGTTAGGATGAGATGAATGTATTTTGTGTACAAGAAGGAATCAATTTTGGGGAATGAGAGGGTGGAATAAATTGTATATCCTCAATATTGATACGGTAAAATTCTAACTTCTAGTGTGACTGTATAAGGAGGTAACTAAGGTTAAAGGAGGTCAGAAGGGTGGGCCTCTAATCCATAGGACCTGTGTCCGTGTATGAAGAGGAAAAGACCTCAGCAGTGCACATGCATAGAGAAAAGGTCTTGTGAGGACACAGAAGGCATCAGCCTGCAAGCCAAGGAGAGCGGTCTCACCAGAAACCACCCTGTCAGCACCTTGATCTTGGATTCAACCCTTCCAGAAGTGTGAGGAAATAAATTTCTGTTGTTTAAGTCAGCAGCTTGTGGTGTTCTGTTATGGTAGCCCATGCAGACTAATACATTGGTGTTAAATATCGAGAGGCATGCTCATATTTTTATACTGATTGATGAATGTTTTTCAGAATGTTTTCAAAAATGTTTTATGGATTGCTGGATTAAAAACTAATGAAATTCATTCTAGGATCAGACTTAATAATAACTTCTACATAATGAGATAAATAAAGGATATAGGAAAACAATAAAGAAATTATCTGTTAATTTTCTCCTACAGGATGAATTTAATCTCTGCAAAATTTTATCTTAATAATAGTGCTTGTAATTAAAACAGTGAAGACAAGTTTATTTATTGAAAGTGTCTTTGAGTCTCAGAAGGAGTAAATAGTAATCATCCGTGACTTGTTTAATGTTGTTCTCAAGTTGTTTGCAATGGTGCCTGGCTCCAATAACTGCAAATTTATCATTGTCAAGTGACTAATCTGAAATGTCATGAACCATGACTTTTTGATATATTTCACTTCTTTAAACGATATAAAATTGAACTACTTGGACTTCTACTTCTGGCCACAATGGAGGAACAGGATCAGATTTACCCTCCCTCCTAAAACAAATACCAGACAAAACATATGAAATAACTGTTTTTTAAGACATTGAATATCAGGCAATGAATGCTACTGATTCATGATATATGAAAAGCAGATGAGGTGAGCACTATGACTGCTCCAGCTTACTGCCTGAAGGGAGTCTCCAGGCCGCACGGCATGGAGTTCCAGTAGTCTTCCCGAGTGGAATAAGTGGAGTTGGGAGTCTGGAGAGACTGAGGCAACTAAAACTCACAGGACAACCAAGATCCAAAGAAACGACACCATTTTAAAAACCTGTATGTAGAAGAAAAGAGAAGAAAATCCAGGTCACCTTTTGTTTAGCAGTGATGTCTTAGATACAACACCAGAAGTACAATCTGTGAAAGAAAAAACTGATAAGTTATGCTTTGTTAAAATTAAAAAACTGCTCTGTGAAAAGCACTGTTAAGAGAATTGAAAAGAGAAGCCACAGACTGTTAAAAATATTTGTTAATCACATATTGGATAAAGGACTTACATCCAGAATTATATAAAGGACTCTTAAGACTCAACAACAAAAAAATCAACAACCCTATTAAAAAATGTGCATAAGATCTGAACAGACACTTTACTGAAGAAACTATACAAATGGCAAATAGACTTAGGAAGGGTGTTCAATATCATGTGTTGTTAGGGAAATGAAAATTAAAATCACAATGAGATACTACAACATGCCTATTAGAATGGCTAAAACCCAAAAAGCTGACAACAAAGTGGTGACGGCAAGGATGCAGAGCAACAGGAACTTGAATTCATTGCTGATGAGAATGCAAAATGGTACAGTTACTTTGTAAGACGTTTTCACAGTATCTTCTAATGATCCAGCAATCACATGCCTAGGCAAACAAGTTGAAAACTTAGGTCCTCACAAAAGCCTATACACTAATGTTCATAGCATCATTTTTCAACTGGAAGCCACCAAATGTCTTATGAAGAGAATGGATAAGCAAACTGGTAGATCTGTACAATGGAATACTACTATTCAGCGATTAAAAGGAACAGGCTATTGATTCATGCAACATAATGGATGAATTTTAAGTGAATTTTACTAAGTGAAAGAAGCAAGCCCCAAAAGGCTACATAGTGTATGGTTCCATTTATATGACATTCTGGAATAGGCAAAACTTTAGGGAAGGAAAACAGATTAATGGTTCTCAACTGTTAGGTAAAAGAGGAAGTGGTTAAACTACAAAGGGGATGCACAGGAGAACTTTCAGTGTGAAACAACTTATGTAAGGGATGTCCTGTATGGTTCTTTATGTACTGACTGATGCTGTGCATTTATCAGAACCCTAGAGCTGTATTTCCCAAAGAGTAAACTTTAACATGTGCAAACTAAACACACACATCAACCAGGATGCTGGGAAATCTAGAATGGAATGCAGTCTATGACAAATGAATCTAACTGTATTATAAATGTATGGCATAAGCACACTGAAGAGGGTGGAAAAAAAAGGAGCTGACCTAAGTAAACTTGGAAAATGGCATTTTTGAGTAGAAATTGTAAGCCTAAATATAAAAAGAGCAGTATATAAACACTGTATTCTAATTGGTAAATGAGCTTTTCACAGGGGTACAGGTAAACAGTTCTTAGTATGTATGGGGTTGAACAAATAAGTAAATTGATGTTGGATGGTAGGAGCCGGGTTTCTCAGTGGTGGAGAAGGATATTAGATACACAAGAAAGGAAGACTAGAATGAACCCTAAGGTGCTGGATTAGAGTCAGTGACATCAGTATGAATCCATCTTTGGATGGATGGATGGATACAGGATCTACTCTGTGTGTGTGTGTGTGTACATGGGTTAGTATACATGCATACATTATCTAGCTCTGTCCACTGACAGAGGAAAGAAACAGTGATGCTCTAGTAGTAACAAGAATAACCCAGTGCCGGGGTGCCTGGGTAGCTCAGTTGGTTAAGTGTCTGCCTTTGGCTCAGGTCATGATCCTGGGGTCCTGGGATTGAGCCCCATGTCGGGCTCCCTGCTCAGCGGGGAGCCTGCTTTCCTTCTCCCTCTGCCCCTCCATCCCCCTCTCGTGCTCTCTCTCACTCTGCTCTCTCTCAAATAAATAAAATCTTTAAAAAAAAAAAAACAAGGAATAACCAGTGCCCATAATTGTGGTTTCTAAATATTCTCCAGTGAAAGAAATTAGAGCTCTTGGAGAAATGACTGATTCTAGGACTGGGCAGGGAAAATACAAAATGAACCTGGAATATCTTATAGTACTAGAAAGTAAGGCTGTCCAAATAAGAAAAGGATTGGAGGTGAGGTGTGCATGTCAAAGGCACACAAGAACCAAACTAAAAGAGCGATCGTGTTTTAAATTACCATGGTATTGATGAGTTCTAAAAAAATTTTGATTTGCATTTCTTTGACTGCTAATAATGTTAAACTTTTTTTTTTTTTACTTTATTTTGGCCATTTATGTTTTCTTCGTGAAGCATTTGATCATGACTGTTTCTCATTTTTCTATAGGATTATTAGTAGTTTTCTCATTGGTTTGTAAGAGCTCTTTATATGTAAAGTGTATTACACTTTTACCATATTTCTTGTACTAGTATTTTTAGATCAGTGAATTTTTATTATTCCATACCGATCAATTCTATGAATTTATGTTAGATTGTCCCATAAAGAGGCAGCAGGGGCTACTAATTGATGAAAACTTTTATAATGATAAAATCTACTTGTTCCAAATTCTTTTAGATTCCACTTCTATTGCAACAGAATATTCCCTGAAATTTGATGAATCTATGACAGAAGATGAAATAGAAGAAAAATCATTTCGATCTTTACTACCTTCTGAGAGTCATCGCAGATTTAACATGGAAAAGAAGAGAGGCCATCATGATGACTCTGACGATGAAGCCTCTCCAGAAAAGGCAACACTGTCTTCTGCCAAGGTGTGCTGCGGTTTTCCTGTGGAGAGTACTTCATACGTAGTCGTGGATGCGTTCTCTCAAAGAGATGACCATACATTTTGTACTTGAACTCAGTTGTCATCTACCAGAATGATTTTCCTAAGATAGCAGTTTTATATTATATTTTTGCTATAGAATCTGGCTTCGCTTTCCTTACAAAGTAGAACACAGACTTACTCCTTGGGGTAATTCAGAAAGCCTTTGAGGATTGGAGCCAGTGTTATGTCTCTAGTGTTTCATTTGCTTCACTCTTATAACACTTTATTCCAGTTTAAAAGTTTATATCATCTTGCTAAATTGTTAGCCTTTTGGACAACAGGGACAATTCTTACTGGGCTTTATGCCCCTGGGACAGTACCTGGCTTATGTAGTTGTTTGTTCAAATTTCACTGGCTGAATAAATTAGCTGATGAATGTTACGCCCTCTCATGTGCCTTTTTTGAGGAGTGTTCTCTGACATGGTCAGCAGCCTTTTTATATACACAGCTTACTTTTATAAGTGCATGCCTCTTTTAACAATGTTAATTAAGTTCCAGAGGCTTAGATAATGATAAACTTGAAATAAAATCTCCACTTTAGGAGCTGAGCATGCCATTCTCAGGAGGACAAGATAGTTTTTCTAAATTTACTATGGAGATGGTTCGACAGTACATGAAAGAAGAGGAAATGAGGGCGGCTCACCAGTCTTCACTCTTGCGTCTCCGTGAGAAAGCCTTGAAGGAGAAAACTAAGGCTGAATTAGCCTGGCTAGAGCATCAGAAAAAGTAAGTTGTTTCAATGAACATAGTTTTCGCTTTCCAATTTCTTCTTTAATTGAAAGGAAATGCTTGTCTTTAAAGATGTTTTTGTTTCCTCATTTAATTTAATTTGATTTGACCAACCCAGTTTCTTAACCTAGAAGTATGGCAGTCGTCTTTGAATCCTGTTGCTGTTCAGATCTCCTACTCATAACATTCTCTTTGCATTTCTCTTTTATCAACTAACTGACTCTCATATTGTTATTTAATACTTAATTCCTTTACTGTGTTGTAAATTTCTCAAAGCAATTTTATCTTTAAAGGACACAGTCTAGAGTTTGCATATATTATACATGCAATAAAATATTTGGTGGGGTAGGCTTTGCTGCATGTTTTCCACGTTTGAAAATGTTAAATTGTTTTAGAGACTTTTTAGTGGTAGAGAATTCTTGACGTTATAATAGAAATTTAATCTACTCTTTGTCTCAATGTGAAATATTTGCAGACATCTACGAGACAAAGGAGAAGATGATAAAATGCCCCCACTTCGGAAGAAACAGCGCGGTTTGCTTTTAAGGTTGCAGCAAGAGAAGGTATGTTAGAAAAAAACACTCTTTAAGAGAATTTCTCCTAAGGCAAATTAGATGGTGGAATCTATTATTTTGCCTAATCTCTTTTTCTTACTATCATCTTAAATGAGATTTAGTTGATATTTACCACTGTCTTTGCCTATACTACTATAATTACAGAAACTGCTTGGTAGTCTGCTATATTTCTGATTTTGTGTCACTGCTAACTTAATACAATATAGAGTCAAACCTGCCTTCCTTTGTTAAATAAAATAGTATTTGAAATGCATATTTAGGGAAGCCTGTGGCTCAGTCGGTTAAGCGTCTGCCTTCGACTATGATCCCAGGGTCCTGGGATCGAGTCCCGCATGGGGCTCCCTGTTCAGCAGGGAACCTGCTTCTCCCTCTGCCTGCTTGTGTTCCCTCTCTCCCTCTCTTGCTCTCTCTCTCTCTCTGACAAACAAACAAACCAAACAAATAATAAAATCTTTAAAAAACGCATATTTAAAAAATTAAGGTATTTGTAAAAGAGTCTATTTGGATTAATTTTTTAGTCACTATTTTCCTGAATAGACTTTCAGGACATACTCATTACAAATTGAGTAATATTTTGGCTCAGTGAACTCAGAAACACCTCAGGTTGGAATCCTGGAGAGATAACATGGTTTGGTGGTTAAGAATTCAAGCTCCAGAGTCAAGTTGCCTGGGTTAAAATTCTAAATCTACCAATTATTAGTTTCATAACCTTGGACAAGTTACTTGACTTCTCTGTGCCTCAGTTTCTTTATCTTTAAACCGAGGATAATAATGATAACATACTAATTCAGCCCTAGTTTTCTTCTTCAAGAAAGTTGGTTGTTGGGAGGAATAAATGAGTTAATACATATAATAAATTTACAGTAGATCTTGGCACAGTGGTAAATGCTCAGTGAATGTTAGCTGTTATCTGAATTCTAGTTTTGTCACTTGCAGCTCTGTAATAATGGTCAAGTTTAAGTAACTCTCTGAGACTTAATTTCCTCATCTGTATGAGTAAGATATTACTTCATATGGTGGTTGTGAGGATTAAAATGAGGTAACATGTGTAAAATGTGTTTCACAGTGCCTGGTAAGTATTCAGTGGATTCTAGTTTTCTTTTCCCTTATTGACCTGTTACAAGGCACTGAGCATGGAGCCCAACGCGGAACTTGATCTCAGAACCCTGAGATCATGACCTGAGCTGAAACCAAGAGTGAGACGGTTAACTGACTGATCCACATAGGCACTCCATCTTTTTTATAGATTTTAATTCTTTGTTTACCTTTTTATCAATTTTTCTATTTTTTCCCATATTTTTTTCAACACATTCATAGTCATTTTAGCTTTCTTGTCTGCTAACTAGCTATTTGGACATCTGTGTGTCTGCTACTGTTTTCTCTTTATATTTTCTATTATCATATGATTTCTTTTTCTTTGCATGTCTAAATAGTTTTTTTTCATTTTTTAATTTAAATTCTAATTAGTAGCATACAGTGTAATATTGGTTTCAGGAGTACAGTGATTCATCACTTACATATAACACCCAGGGCTCAACACGACAAGCGCCCTCCTTCATACCCATCCCCCTTCTAGCCCGCTCCCACCCACCTCCCTCCATCAACCCTCAGTTTGTTATCTATTATTAAGAATCTCTTAATTTTTTTTTTAAAAGATTTTATTTATTTGACAGAGACCCAGCGAGAGAGGGAATACAAGCAGGGGGAGTGGGAGAGGGAGAAGCAGGCTTCCCGCTGATCAGGGAGCCCAATGTGGGGCTCGAACCCAGGACCCTTGGATCATGACCTGAGCCGAAGGCAGACGCTTAACGACTGAGCCACCCAGGCGCCCCTCTTACAGTAATTTTTTATTAAATGCTGGATACTGTATAAATAACTGCAAAGGCTCCAGATGATGTTATCTTCCCCCACCAGAGAGGACTTATTTTTTCCCTCTGCTGTGCTGTTAGAGTGCTCAGCAATTCACTTAAATCCATTCAGGAACTAAGCTGGGTTAGTATTGGGTTGCAGAGTTGGCAGGCCTCAGTCTGCTTCTGCTTTGCATTGACCCTAGGTTGTAACTTTCCAGGGATTTCAGTTGAAAGCCAGGTAGACCAGCACAAAAGACTGTGGGGATTTCTACCCTGCTGCTGAGAGGTTTCTGGTGTGTAGCTCCTTAGCCTTCTGTCTGTGCTGCTTAAGAATAGGCAAATGGTTTGAGGGAGAGACTGAGTTGGAAGCCTTTTAAGTCTCCAGTTTTGTCACCTGAGATCTCTGTACCTGTGGAAATGGTGATTGGTGTAACCACTTAGGAGCAGTTTGACTATATCTGGTTATGCTGACAACACATATAATCTGTGAATCAGCAGTTCTGTGTCTTGGTATATATAGTAGAGAAGTTTTCACACATGTATGGGGGAAATGGAAACAGCTTAATTCTTTCATTAAGAGAATAGATGAAACAAAGCATATTTCTGCAAGAAAGTACAATACTGCAGGAAATGAATGCATTACATATCAGCACTGTTCAATAGAGATTTCTGAAATTATTATTAATGTTCTGTATTTGTGCTGTCCAATACAGTAGCTATTAGTCGCATATAGTTTTCGGTATTTAAAACATGGCTAGTGCAACTGAGAAACTGAAATTTTAATTTAAATAGCTACATGGAGCTGTGGCTACCATATTGAATAGTTATAGCAGTAGATCTTTATCAAAAATCATAATATTGGTTTTTATAGAAGAGCAAGATGCAAAAGAATATGTACAGTATGATACCATCCTCGTAAATATTTTTAAGGATTTATTTCTTTGTTTTAGAGAGAGCATGTGAGCAGGGGGGAGGGGTAGAGGAAGAGAGAGAGAGAGAGAATCCTCAAGGAGACTCCCTGCTGAGCACAGAGTCTGATGTGGGGCTCGATTCCAGCACCTGAGATCATGACCTGAGCCAAAATCAAGAGTTGGCCGCCCAACTGACCGATACACCCAGGCACCCCTATAGTACTTCAGAATGTTTTTTCAGTAAATGTGCAAAATCACTCTGATCTATCTGTCTACCCCTGGAAAATTACCCTGCAGAAATAAAAGCACCAGTGTGGAAGGATGTATGTACTAAGATATTTACTACAGTTGTATCATAAGAATTATTTTGACTGGTAGTGAGATTGTATAACCACTTTGGCCACATATCTTCGCACAGCTGTATCCAAAATGAGAGAGAACATATTTTCCTATGTCTTATTCTTTTTTTGTTTTTTGAGATAAAATTCACATAACAAAATAACCATTTTAAAGTATAATCCACTTACACCATTAACCGTTTTAAAGTGAATAGTTTGTACAACCTTATAGCTTATTCTGAAAAGAAAAGCAAACCTCTTCCTTCAAGAATCCCTTTGAAACAGTTTCTTTTCTAGGCTTGGATTGGGTGAATGTATACAATAATTGGTTTAGAAACTCAGGGCTAAACTAATAGCAGTTTTTCAAAATGTGCTCTGTGGAACTCTGGGGTCCCTGATACCCTTTCATGGGTTATGGAGGTCAAAACTGTTTTCCTAATAGTGGGATATGAATTTGCCCTTTTCATGGTTTGACATTTGTACTAAGTGGTACAAAAACAATGGTGGGTAAAACTGCCAGTGCCTTAGCACAAATCTGGGCAGCAGTGGCCCCAGACTATACTAGTAACCGTCATGTTTTTCAGTGCCACACACAGTGAAACAAACAAAAAGCAGTAGTTTCACCGAAGAATGTCTTTTTTTTTTTTATTTTTTTTTTATTTTTTATTTGTTTGAGAGAGAGAGTGAGCAAGTGTGAGAGAGAGAGCACGAGCAGAGGGAGAGGGAGAAGCAGACTCCCTGCTGAGTAGAGAGCCCAATGTAGAGCTTGATCCCAGGACCCTGAGATCATGACCTGAGCTGAAGGCAGTCGCTTAACCTAACACACTGAGCCAGCCAGGAGCCCCTTCACTGAAGAATGTCTTGCTTAAGTAGTAAAAATTATTAATTTTGCTGAGTGTTGACCTTTGAGTACTTTCATTGTCATACTCTGCGTGACAAAAATAGGAAGTACACAAGGAAGCACTTTTACCAGATACCAGAGGACAGTGATTAACTCAAGGAAAGGCATTTGTGCAGTTGTTTGAGTTGCAAGCTGAACTAGCCATTTTTTTTTCACGGAATACCGTTTTTCCTTGAAAAAATTATTCAGAGACAAACTGTTTATTCAGATTTGTGTATTTGACAGTCATTTTCTCAAAAATGAACAAAGTGTGCCTGTTATTTTATAGAAAACAGCTGTAACACTATTTGATGCCAGTGACAGAATTCAGGCTTTCAAGGCAGAATTTTAGAAAATTTCTGTCCACCACCTAATACTAAAGAACTTTTCTTTTGAGATCTGTGATGATGTGAAAGAATGTGATTTTTTTATACTGTATAATGAAATGTGTCAACACTTGGAAGATCTGCATAACTCAGTGAACTGATATTTTCCAAATGACCAATGCATGATGTTTCAAAAAATCAAGTCAGTAAATAAAGAGATTTGTAAAAATCTAATAATACTAAATATTTTGTTTGTTTGTTTTGGAAGATAGTTATTTTCTTTAAAATGCATACAATGCCATTGTGTACTCCTGAGAGAGTGAGAGTGAACAAAGGCAAATAGTGTCTTAGTATTATGAAGATTGTTTGACTCTGAGAGTCCCCTGAAAGGACCTTGGGAATCCTCTAGGGTCCATGGACCACACTTCAAGAACTACTGCTCTAGAGAAACTCATACATGTGCCAAAGACAAAAACTATAAGGCTGTTCATTGTAGCATTGTTTGCAATAGTGAACAACAACTTTATCTACATATAGGGGTAATGGATACATGAAATAGTATATGCTTCCAGTGTTATGCAGCATTTAGGTGTAAGTCAACACAGAGAGGTAGCCAAAGCAATGTCCAGTAAATAAAGCAAGGTTGAAAATATATATGTGTGATATTATTTATAAACTACTTAAAAACATACAGACCAAACAGTGTGTGTTTTTTGCAGGTAAGTACAAATATCTGTAGAAGAATTTTAAAAGAATGTGCTGGAAGGATATATACCATGGTAGTGATTACCTCTAAGGATGTGGGATTGCATACTGGTTTTATTTGTAATGTTTTATTTCTTCACAAAATAAAGACTAGGATAAAATATGACAGAATATTAACAGTTGTTAGTATGAGATTTTAGAAATTAGATATTTTTGTGCACGTCTCTGCATTTTCAGATAGTTTACAAAAATCAAACATGACTAAAAGAAATTATACATCGCTGATTATTACTGTCTTTATAGGCTTACATTATTGACAGGAACACAGATTAAAATAAATTTATGGAAAAAAAAGGACAGGCTCTTAAATTTTAACAATTATTAACAGTGAAGTGTATCATCTTTTGCCCATTTAGTTAGTAACAGAAAACTTAACAAAACCCTGTGTGGAGAGAGTTTGATGCAGTATAGTCTTAAATGTTTGTGGTGGAGACCATTCTTTTTTGAAAGCAATCTTTAAATGATTTTAAGGGCCATAGTATGATTTATCCTCTTTGATTTGTTTGTCCTACATTTTGGAATCTCTCCTAAAGAACAAATCCATAGTATGAAACAGTTACAGACATTAAAGCATTATTTGGAATGGTAAAAAATTATAAGGGGCCTAAGATTTTAGCAGTAGAATAATGGTTACGTTAACTACTTTACTTGTTATGCAGCTAATAAATAAGTGTAAAGACCAAGTAACACTATGGAAAAATATGAAGGGTATCTTAAGTTTAAAAGGGGGATAGAAAATTGTCAGTCTGTTGTAATTATAATTATTTAAATTAAGGGATCATGTTTATTGTTTTAGGATGATGGGGTTGTGAGACTTTTTTCCTCCTTCACTACTTCAAAATTTTTCAATATTATTACTTTTATCTTGAATATACTGTATGTTTTTATTTTTGATACATGTGATGATTGGGCTTTCTTAAAATACTACTTTGGACTTGTATCCTCCAAATTTCAGTTGCTCTTCTAATTCTTTAAACCTTAGGCAGAAATTAAACGTCTTCAAGAAGCCAATAAGGCAGCTCGGAAGGAAAGACAACTGATTCTGAAACAGCAGGAGGAGATAGAAAGGATCCGACAGACCACCATAAAGTTACAGGAGAAGTTAAAGTCGGCAGGGGAGAATAAATTGGTAAATTACACGAAATTACTATTTGTTTTCTCTCTCATGTTGCTTGCTAATACCTAATCCTGCCTCACTTTCTCGTCTGATGGATATGTTCATAGATGTTAGATGAACTAGAATAAAGTTCTATGTATGTATCTTTATGTATAGTGAGAGTTTTTATTTTTTTTCCCATGGAATATTCAAGTTTTGAAAGGGACACGTGGTTCATATGATAGTTGAAAAATGTTTTCCATTTATAAACTCATTTGGGACAGAGAGCCTTGTTCTTGCTTATCAATCCAGATATATTCCTCAGAATTAATGAGAGAGACCATTTTTGCTCTTGGTACTTAATTTTAGCTATTCAGTATTAATATAATGATACAAGAGTCAAAGGAGGTATTCAGATAAAAGCAAAATTTGGATCTATTCTGAGATGCTGTAAAGTGTTAATATAGTGTTGGAGAACCCACACTGGATAATTGTATAGTTAAATAAATCTTAGCATTTTCTGCTTTGATGTTTAAAATACACTTTAAATTTTGAAACAATCTTAAATTTATAGAAAATTTCAAACACTGTACAAAGAATTCTATCTTCCTGGAGTATGACAGTCCTCCAGTTGTCACAATAATGTGCTTTTATCAGAAGGTAAGTTCAAAATCACATATTGCATTTAGTTCTCATATCTCTCTAGTCTCCTTCAGTCTGGAAAAGTTACTTGACTCTCATGACCTTGACACTTTGGAAGATTGCATGCCAGTTACTTTGTAGAATGTTTCTCAAACTTGAATTTGTCTGATATTTCCTCATAATTAGGTTCAGATTGTGCATCTTTAGCTGGAATATTACAGAAGTGATGCCATGTTCTCACTGCATTCAATCAGGTGGTGCCTGATTTTGATTTATCCCATTACTGATGATGTTGACTTGATCACTCGATTAAGAGGGCGGCTGTCAGACTTCACTATAAAGTTACTTTCTTTCCCTTTGTAAATAATAAGTACTTTGCATGAGTTATTTTGAGACTACATAAATTTCTGTTCTTCTTTAAACTTACTCTTTTATTTATATTAGTATGGACTTACAGATTCCTATTTTATTCAGCATTAAATCTGTTACTATCATTTGTTTTGATGCTCACTTTGTCCCAGGTCAGACCATTAGGAGCCTTTTCAAGTTTCTATGTGCTTTTGATATGTCCCCAACAGTCTGTGAGCACTTCCATGTTTTCTCCAACAAGATGTCTCAGTGTCATCTTATACCTTCCCTGCCCCAGACTTGGAATCAGCTGTTTCTCCGAGAAGGAAAGTTATTCAGAAACCAAGATCTGGTGCTAAGCATGCTCATTACTATTCAGGTTTTGGTCCTCCTAAAAGCAACAAATCTAGACAATATGTATGTTTATGTAGATGTAATAAAAAATACATTTTACATGTATGTTTATTTCTGTATGTTCATATACAGTATACAGTATATATACATATACAGTATTTAGGTATTATGAGTTCATACTGATCCTTCCAGTTCCAATGCAGCACCATAAGGTTCCATTCTAGTTTTCTTTTTTTTTTATTAAGTTCAATTAGCCAACATACAGTACATCATTAGTTTTTGATGTAGTGTTCAGTGATTCATTAGTTAGGTATAACACCCACTGCTTATCAGATCACATGCCCTCCTTAATGCCCATCATCCAGTTACCCCATCCCTCCACCCCCCTAGTTTTCTCTCTTTTGAAACTTCCTTCTCTGATAGACAGCTGGTTAACATTTTCCTTAATATAGATCATGATTTGCTCATTCCTGTGTAACCCATCTCCCATAACCACTGCCACCCCTTTCCTCATGTGGATATCCTCACCACCCCTGGATTCTGACTCCCAAGTCAAGCTATTCCCCCATCTCCTTGCCCTTTCTCTGTACTCTCCTTAACCTTTCTATACTCTGTGGGAATGCCACTTCACTCTATTTGGGCTTGTAACATGCCATGTAGGGCCACTCCCCTGTGGACATCCTCTTTGTTCCACTTGAGTAATAACCCTCCTGTATTAGATGCCCTCTTCATCTCACTCCAGTTGGGACACCCCACTCTAGGTCCCCTTGTCCACCTCTACCTTTGCATGGACCCCTGTCTTGCGCTGTTCCACCTAATGACTTTAGGACTGAATCATTTAGGAGGCAGAAAGGGAAGGAGAAGTCCTCTGCTATATGTATTGTTCACAAAATAAAAATGGTCACAATTGTCCCTACTCATCTTCCTGAAAAGTTATGAGAATAAATGACTATTCTCTTACTTAAGCATTTAGACTTATTTAAGCATTTAAAGTTAGTTTTTGCTCATGAGAAATAATATATCAATTAAGCCAATAGTTCTAAATGTTTTTTTCTTTAAGATTTTATTTATTTGTCAGAGCACAAGCAAGGGGAGTGGCAGGCAGAGCGGGCAGAGGGAGGAGCAGGCTCCCCGCTGAGCAAGGAGCCTGATGTGGGGCTCCATCCCAGGACCCTAGGATCATGGCCTGAGCCAAAGGCAGACGCTTAACTGACTAAGCCACTCAGGCGTCCCCTAAATGTTTTCATTATAAATTTTGCTCGTGAGAAATAATGTATCAGTTAAACCAGTATTTCTAAATGTTTTCATTTTCAACTTTTTAAATTGAGAAAATACTGTTTTTCCCGTTAGAATTTGGAAAGAAAAAAGATCCATCCCTCAGTAGTATTAAAATAAGTTTATGTGTTCCCTTCATTCTTATATCTGTACGTGTATATATAGTGTTTATATTCCTTTTGAGTGGTTCAATTTAAAAGAAATTAGGATAGTGAAATTCTAGATTGCTAGTAGCAGAAGATTTTTTTGTTTTTTTCAATCTTTTAAAGAAATTGTACTTTGGGGGGCGCCTGGATGGTTCAGCTGGTTAAGTGCCTGCCTTCAGCTCTGGTAGAGATCCCACAGTCCGGGGATCAAGCCCCAAGTCGAGCTCCCTGCTCAGCGGGGAGTCTGCTTCTACCTCTCCCTTTGCCCCTCCGCCTACTCGTATTCTCTCTCTCTCAAATAAATAAATAAAATTTAAAAATAAATAAATAAAATTTAAAAAAAAGAAATTATAATTTGTGATTATATATAAATATATGTAAGATATATATAACAATCTATATTTTAGCCATTTTTAAATGTATATAATTTTTTGTCTTTTAAGTAATTTAAGTAATTTAAGTAATTCCTTAATTGCAGCTATTTTATAAATATGGTTTTGAGGATAAACTTAATTTTGAAACAACAATGTTTGAAGTCATTTTGAGATCTTAAACTCCAGTAAAATTATAAAAAATTATAAAACTTTACCCTCTTTTGTTTTTAGGACTCCCATAGTGATGATGATACAAAGGATAATAAGGCAACCAGTCCTGGTCCAACTGACTTGGAGACCCGAAGTCCTTCCCCCATTTCAATCTCCAGCAGTGAAACTAGCAGCATTATGCAGAAACTGAAAAAAATGAGAAGCCGCATGGATGAAAAGTAATTTATTTTTATAAATATTATCCTGTTCACATTGAAAATGATAGCAAAAATATTTTTAATGTACTTCATTAGATTAGATTGATAAAATGTAATATTTTATGAATTCAGTAGCATTTTAGCAGAATTGTTAAATCAACCTGGAAGTCAATTAACTATAGATCTTACTATAAAACAGATTTTCTTGTTTTTAATATAGTCAGGTTTCTTATTTTAAAAACCAACATAGTAATTGCACATATACCCAGGACAATGTTTCCATCTTTCTTTTATTAAAAGCTAAAAGTAAGTGTGAAATTTATACCTTCCCTGAAATCTGACAATATGTCTACTAACTTGGGGAAGCAGTTAATGGTATATTCTGAGATCTCGTCCTATGGCTCTCTGACCACTCTCATGCGTAGGTCAAATAGGAATTTTAAGCTATGAGAAGGTGTGGATTCCTCATTTGAAACCAGAAAAACTGAAATTCTTCTGGGATGTTGAATGATTCTGAAACATTTCTAAGTATTATTTTTTTAGAGGCTCCTTTAAAGAAAGCTGCTTCTACTTAAATGTAGCTCAGTTGTATGTCAGTGTTGACCATATAAAGTTACATTTATGTGAGAGTGTACTCTTCTGGGTATACATTTCATTAAATATGCTTGTGAAATATCTGCTTGTGGACCCTATCCTTTACTTTATAACCTCTACCTTCTTTAAATATGAAAGAGAGACCCATGAAAATGTTTTGTTGACTGTTATTTTATTTTGTTAACAGTTTGAACCACAGTTGTATCTTGATATCCTTTGTCAGTGTACCACACATTACCAAATTTAATAATGCTCTATATTCATGTGACATCAACCTGTGATTCAATGAGTTTCTGAACAGTCAAGCATTTGTAAATCAAACCTTACCTACTATAGGTACAGTGTTATACATTGGCGCTTCATTGCTTGTTAAATTGCATTTCATAACTTTAAAATACCTAAATTGGTGATGAAAATAAGTTTTAAAAAATAAATACAGAATCTTAAAATAAATATAAGGGGGTAAAACCAAATATTTATAAACGTGTAAATATTCCTTTTGGATCATTCCGTGGGATAGACTAAATAAGGCTTTTTCATGTAGGAATTTATTGAAATGTAGACTAAAGATGCTTTCTTCCTTTCCTGATAAAATTTTCCCATAGTCTGTATAGGCATACTGTTTTGCTTCATGGATGTTTGAATTCAGAATAATCTCTCTCATGAATTTTTATAACTGACTTGACATTTTAAATATGCTTCCAAATGTCTTTGAATGGTAAATATTGGAGGAAAGAGTTTCAGGGGTAATTTCTTCATTGATCCCTTGCTCATCTATATTAGTAAGGTCTTCATTGCTGGTCTTTATGAATAATATTCTAATAATTTTAATCACATTTGTAGAAGAAACTGCTAATCCTAAATCTGTTTATGAGATGAGTCCGTTTATGTGGTGCTTATTTCACATTTGGTTAAAGCTTTAAAAATTCTAAATAACAAATTGAAGATGACATTTATTGATTTTGTTCCAGCTTTTATTATTTTCTCAGAATCTGAAATATTAAACACATGGAATTTTTGTATTATTGTTCTACCTTCTACCTTCCTTTGTCAACTACTACAGGAACCATTTGAGCAATTTGTCAAAGAAATAGGCTTTGAAGTATTCAGTGACTTGATTTGTTCTTTGAAGCAATGAAGTTGTGTTTGTGGGTAGGGATGGGGTAGGGACAGCAGTGGCAAAGGAATCATTTTTAATGTTTTATGATGGTGCTGAAATTTGAGGATAAACTGGAGTATTTTTCAAAATTAGCAATGTACTATAAAGGAAAATTATTATGTGATATTTTTTAATGTCTAGAAAAAAATAATATGAAAACTGGTTTTTAAATACCATTCAGATCACCAAAACTTTACAATTAGATTTCCTTCAACAGTATTGGAATGTCAGTAAATAAGTGTCAATAAATAGAGTTAATTTTATAGTCATTTGCTACAGTAGATACCTAATAACAAAATCATTTGAGCCTTTGCTACTAGACGCTATTATTTGTTGTGTAGATTTGCAAAGGCAGTCTTCCAAGAGATTACTATTTTATTGATATAAGACACCTGTCATAAAACAGTCCTCCCTCAGTAAGTTTAGCTAACTTTTGGGAAGAACTTTTTCATTATATGTCATTGCTTATTGTTAATCCTCTGAACTCTGATTCTGTGACAGATTTTTTTTGAAACTATCAAACTATTCTTGGCTACAGTGAAAGATTTCCTTCTTTAATGTTTCATTGAGACAGTGATGCCTTTGTTAAAATTTATATTTCTAATCTGTGGCTTTTCCTGACCTTTTTATTGATCTGACATATAAGTAATTTTATTTTCTCAGTGTAGTGAAAAGCAAAAGGAATTTAAGCTGTGAAAAAGATTAGTCATAATGTTGTGTTTGCAAAAGCCACAGACTGAATAGCCGTCAGTCTTTTTGGTACTGTTGATAAAAGAAATCTGAGTTTTGTTTATTACTGTGAGGGGCATTATTTATAATATAAGTGCATTGTCTGTAATCCTGAAACATATATTCATAAAGAAAACACCATGCATTGACTTTTTCTGTTAATTTGCCAGTTCTCTTTCAGGAAAATTTTTTACTGAGCAAATGAAACACAAACAGGATGGGTTTATCTTCATCTTCAAGTGTTAAAATAAGACACAGTGTATTTTCTCTTTAATAGCAGCTGTTCTTCCATATTATTTATTAAATATATACTTATTCTTAGCAATTATTTGTTGGGAAATGTGTGAATGTGCTAGGTTCTGAGAGATATGAAGGTGAATCAAACATAAACCTTGCCCTTAAAAAGCGTATGGTCTAGGTGGAAAAAAGAACAAATATCAGTCCTGTAGAGAACTGTATATAAATTAATTGCTAAGGAAGTTCAGAAGATGAAGAAATTTTTACTGAAAAGAATATATCAAGTCAGTTTTCAGTGGATGAGTGTTCCAAGTTAAATATACTTTTGCATTAGTAAGTACTTTATAGCATAAGAAGAAGCAAAAAAAAAAAAAAAATCCCACAAACATAAGTTATATTTTGATTTGATCATCGCAGACCAAGTTAGCATGGAAAAATGAAGACACAAAACTTCTCAGACATTCATTTTAAATATTTAAATATTTTATTTACTTAAAATTTAAAATTTTAAAAATATTCCCAGTTAGCTTAGAACCACTAAAGGAACAAATTAACTTATTTGGTTTTAAATAATCATAAAGTTAAACAGATATTGTATGACGCAGCTCTGATAACAATATTTGTGGTATTGTCTGGTCAGTATTAAAATCTTCATTAATCTGCTGAGTTTAAAAAGTTAAGGTTTTGCAGGGGAAGACTTTTGATATTCCATTAAAGAAGAATTCTAAAAAATATACTAAATACTGTTGCCTTAAATTAGAATTCGCCAGTATTTTTTTTTTCAAGCCCAAAGTGGGGCTTGAACTGGTGACCTTGAGCTCAAGACCTGAACTGAGATCAAGAGTTGGGTGCTTAACGACTGAGCCACCCAGGCACCCCTGCCTTAAATTAGAAATAAAATTTCTTACAAGGTTCTAGTTTAAGTGTGGTAGCTGGATAAATCCTGATAACCTGATAATGGTTTTTATTTTCTTTACTTCCTAGGTTAGGAATAACGTACCTGCATTTTGTTTAATTATATGCAAATCATTAGACAGTTTTAAGTAATAGAATAAATTTTGCTTAGGAAAAAATACAAGACTGCATTTTCTTTTTTTCTTTTTTTTTTAAGATTTATTTATTTTTGAGAGGGAGAGAGAGAGAGTGCGTGTGCAGGCGTGTGAGTAGGGGGAGGGGCAGAGGGAGAGAATCTCAAGCAGACTCCCTCCTGAGTGTGGAGCCCAAAGTGGAGCTCGATCTCATGTCCCTGAGATAAACACTATGTTTCATTTTTATTTATCATAATATATATTTAATTTTTGGTCCAGAAAGAATTTTAAAATGATTTAAAGTATTAGGTTTTTGCTTGTTTTGTTTAATATCTTTCAAATTATTTTATAACTCAAAATTTCATTTAAAATTTACATCATAATTTTGCTCTTTCAAATGATAGCGTGGTTTTATAATGTGTTGGAACACAATTTACAATTATACTAGCTCAATGAAAAAAAAGTTCTCATTTATGTCACGTGGTCCAGCAGTGTATTGAGGTATTTAAAAAAGTGTGAGGAGGTACTTGAATGGAGAAAGAAAGCATTATATACTGCTGGAACTAAAAGGGCTCTTTGAGAAGTCATCTAGTGTAGTCCTTTGGTTTTACAGGAAGAAATTGAGGCCATGGAGATAAGTAACTCATCCCAGGTCACACACAGAACTAGAACTAGGACCCTGCTCTTTGGACCTCAGCCAGCCAAAGTTAAAGTTGAGTTAAGTTAGCATATCTGCTTTCAACCTCATAGCTTTTTTTTTCTTTTTTCTTTTTAATTAACATATAATGTATTATTTGTTTCAGGGGTACAGGTCTGTTATAACCTCATAAGTTGTTTTTTTTTTTTAAATCTAAACTACAGTGATGACTTAAAGTTATCTCAATAGAAATTGACCCTTGTAAATAGGATCTGTTTAAATTGGAAAAGTGTTCAGTGGCTGATTACTGGGCTTGAATAGCTGTACAGTTCAAGTTTAGAGTGTGAAAGTGTGACTTTAAAAGAGAACCAGGGGTGCCTGGGTGGCTCAGTCAGTTAAGTGTCTTGAGTCTTGGTTTTGGCTCATGTCATGATCTCAGGGTGGTGAGATTGAGCCCTGCATTGGACTCTGCACTCAGCGTGGAGTCTGCTTGTCCCTCTCCCTCTGCTCCTTCCCGTGCACGTGTGCTCTCACTCTTTTTCTCTCTCATAAATAAATTTTTAAAAAAGAGAACTAATTACTAATGAATTTCTTAAGATTAAACATTATAAGAACACAGTGATTTACATTATGATTAAATCTATTATGTCTAATCCTATCCAGTCCAGTGTTCTGTTACCATCAGAAGCCTTGCTGGGGGATGCCTTGACACCAACCATTAAGCATGTTAGCAGTGTTTTCTGTTAGTAGGCATTTATGTCTCCCATCATTCACAAATTTTATTTATTTGTGCAGCATCGTGAAGGATTGTTAACTCTAGTGTGAAGTACTGCTTCTTTTATTTCAACTTTATTTAGCTTTTAAATGACACTATTTCTAGAATATACATATATTAAATAAGGAATATATGTTTCTGGGAAGAAGTTTTAACTTTAAGTTAAACTGTTCTCACACTATTTCTTAAACTATTTTCTTTCCTTTTTCTGTTAGCTGTTTCTTTTGTCCATTTCTAACTTAGAGCTTTTGAATATATTTAATCCTTATAAATGAAAAATAAATGGTCAGTACTTGTGCTAGTAGAGAAAATTATTAGTCTCGATATTGGGCTGGACAAATTTAAATTGTAATTTTTTTTACAGTTTATTTTACATGTTCCAATACTATTCTACTTTTTGTACTAGGTCATGCATGCATTTAGCAGTTATATACTTAAGAGGGTGGGTGATATTTGAATATTATGAATAGATTTTTTGGACCTTTTGCCGAGTACATTTGTTTTTGTGTAATATTTTGATAATTAGCACTAAAATAAGTTATACATTCATAAAGAATGGCAAGGAAGATTGCAGTGTCTTACTAAAATTTGGCAAAATTGTTTTTCCTTGAACTTCGGTGCAGAAAATCAAGGCAATCCAGATATGAATGTGTATGTATGTGTGTGTGTGTATATATATAAGTAAATGAAGGGGAGGTGAAATATTAAGTTGTATGTGGGGAAACAGACATTGAAATAGTCTGTGTATCTAAAGATACATGTATAGGCAAGATTGTACATATTTTTAAAAATCCAAATGAATAGCTGGATTTATACCTAGATTTTCTCACTTCTGTGACATACTGATATTATTCCTTGCCCTTCCAAGGCAAAAAATGTTGCCTTGATCTACAGGTTATTGTTGTGTGCATGTGAACAGGAGCATGCTCTGTCAAAGAGAACTAACCTTTCAGACTATTACTAGACTTACTTAACCTCTCAAATATATATATTTATATTTACATATATAAATGATCTATTTACTGTTTAAAAAGAAGAGAATTTTCTACTTTTATAACTTTAACATATGAAATTTTCTTCTTTTAACCTTATGATTGAGCTGTCCATAGCATGATTTTTTTTTTTAGCCAGGAATATTTATTGTGACTAGCTTAGTTTATTCTTAATTATGCATTCTAATATTTTATGGAATGGATATTATATTTCAGTCTTACTAAAGTGGGCCTTTGTTAAATATAAAGCAAGATATCTTCAGTAGGTCCTGTGAGCAGTAAATTTTATGCTGTAGAGGTGAACAAGGTATTTTTAACTCTAAATTTATTTTCTAAATTATTATTTTCAAGCTAGATCACGATGATAAAGGTTAAGTGAGGCAAACATAGTGCTTTTTATTTAATTTCAAGCTTAAAATATATGACAAGGTACAGATATAAAAGTCATTTGCTTAGGCTTATATATGTGTGTAGAATTGCTGATGTACTAGGTTCACAGCCATAATTGTTGTACTCTATGTTAAAGCTTATGGGAAAACTTATTTAGCTCCGTACTGTACTTCTCATAACTTTACTCACATAAAGTAAATTTACCTGAAACTATAGATGATGGTTAAGCAACATCTGAGAAGAAAGGCATGTTTATTCAGAAATCATTGGTAAGATCTGTAATAGTACATGTTTTATATGTCACACAGAGTATAACACTTGCTTTGAGTAGCTTATAATGTTATTCAGGAAGCATATTAAAAGTTCTCCACTCAGCTCTTTTGCTTTCCCTTTCTCATTCTTTCTGCCTCTTGATCTCTTGGTTTTAAAATCTTCCTCCTTATTTTGTAGACACTGCTCTCCTGTTCACTACTTCTTCTCTGTCTTTACGTCTCACCACTGGGCCTCTCTCAGTGTCTGTTTTCCCAACCTTCATCCCAAATTCCAGCTGTATATCTACAACCAGTTGGTCAGGTAACTTTGCACCTTTTTCAGTGCACTCTTTGATAGAGCATGCTCTGTTCTTTTTGTTTGTTTTGTTTGCTTTTCTTCTTCTTTTTTTTTTTCTTTAACAGCCTGGGGGCCTCTTGTCAAATGTCCCATAAATTATTTTTGTTTCCACATTAATTTGATATGCTGATTGTTCAAGAAGTGGAATGACAGCTTTTGTGCTTTTTATTAAGTGTTTGTTGGATGTGTGAATACATTTTTGTTGATTAGCCACCAGTACAGATCTAACACCAATAATATGAGCAGCCCACCTTTTGTTTAGCTTTGGCATCTACATATGAGGAGCGTTTAGTAATAGCTTTTTAACTACTTAGATAACTTTTTCCTAAATCTGTAATTTCTCTTAATCCTTTGGAGCTAAGATATATTGGGCTATTTAACTTCAGAAATTGGGTTAAATTGAGAAATTTGAGGCATTTGTTGCATCCTTTTACATAAGAAAATAATTAGTTCTGTTTATATGCAAAAAACATCTGACCGTGGTGCTCAGTGTTCTCTCCGTAATTATCACCTCCCATTGCATCTCTTAGGCAGTGGGAACCAAAGAGTGGTGTAGTGATACCTGAAATAAAAAGACTGTATTTGAAAGTAAAAGTCAAAAAGGGACATGAACATATCTTTTTTGTTTGCTTGCTTGTTTGGGGGCTTTGAGATTTGTTTTTTGTTGTTGTTTTGGTCTTTGTTGTTTTGGGTTTGGGTTTGTGTGTTTCTAGTCTGAACCTTCAGAATAAATTCCTTATATCTTCTATTATGAAAAAGAATCACCTATGAGAAGTGAATATGTAAGTTAAGTATTATCAGCCATGGGTGTCCAGATATTCTGAAGATTTTCTTTTCTGAATTTGTCTTTACAAACAATCACAAGTAAAACACTAATTCTTTCATTTTCTAAATATGTTGACTCATCAAGGCTTCTGTTATTTCAAAGTTTTTTCAAAGGAGTAGTATGAATGTCCTGTTTTTACACAGCTTGTTGATAAGGCAATGAGTGGTAGAGCTCTCAGAGTGATTTCCACCCCTAGATTTGTTCTCTGACTGTTCTTCATGGTGTGACCATAGGTTTCTTACAAAGCGAGAGCAAAAACTAATGCAACGGCGACAACATGCAGAGGAACTGCTCGAGTGGAAGCGACGTTTGGATGCAGAGGAAGCCGAAATTCGTCAAATGGAAAAACAAGCTTTGGCTGCCTGGGACAAAGAATTAATAAAACCTAAAACTCCTAAGAAAGAACTTGAGGACGCGAGAACAGAACAGAAAGGTAATAAATACTAACTCTGTTCAGACTACAAACCAAAGCCTAAGATAACTGGAAGATTTACTTCATTATATTTTAAGTGTGAAGAAGGCAATACAATTGCAAATGCCACCAACATTGGAAATATGAGAATATTGTGAATAACTTTATGCTAATATACTTGAAAACTTAGGAGAAATGGGTAAATTCTATGAAATGAAAATGGGTTATTCCATGACCAAGTAGGATTTAACACATTCTAAAATCGATCATGTGGCAAATTACTTAAACAGATTAAAGGAGAAAAATTACGTGACATCTCGATGGATTTAGAAAAGGTACTTGATAAAATCCAGGAAGCATTTGTAATAAAACAAATTTCAGATAAAGTAGCAGTAGAAGGGAGTTTTGTTTACCTGATCTAGGTATCTATTAACAAAAATGAAAAACCAAACCTACAACAAGGTACCATACTTAATGATAAAACATAGAAAACTTTCCCTTTGAATTTGGAAATAAGACAAATGCTTTTATTTTCACCTAAGGAGTGAAAGGAAGAAGCAAAACTCATTATTACAGATTTTAAAGCTGTGCACATAGAAAATCCCGCATTTATATGTCAGTTATTAGAATTAACAAGTGAGTTGAGCATAGTTGCTGGATATAAAATTCATAAAATTCAATCACATGTCTATAGAGCAGCAGAAATTGGTTAGAAAATCTAATTTTTAAAAGAGGTACTATTTATCATAGAAATAAAAAATATGAAGTACTAGGTATAAATTTAAAAATATGCAAGATCTTTATGGAGAAAAGTTTAGAATTGTATTAGGATTATTAGAGAAGACCAAAATATATAGAAAGCTTTTCCATACTCACAGATTCAGTGTCATAAAGATGTTAATTCTGCTTGAATTTATTTATAGATTCAAGGCAATTTATATCAGAAACCCAGCAGGATTTCTTCATAAGTTTGACAAGCTCATTTTAAAATTTTTGAAAGAACAGGACCAAAAAGCAAAGACACTGCTAAAGAAGAACCACAAAATGAACTTACTTTAGTAGATATCAAAACTTGTAAAAGTGTATAATTAAAATGGGATTATTTGCACAGAGATAGACAAATAGACTATGAAACAGCACAGAAAAAGACCCTTGCATGTATGGAAAGTTGACTTCTGACACAGGTAACTTTACAGAGCAGTGACGAAAGGAGAGACTCTCCAATAAATTTTGGGGGCAGGGAAAAATGAATTGGATCCCTACATTGACAATCTAGAAATACTCAGCTAAAGGGCTTAAAAAAAAAAGACTTAAATCTAAAAATTAGAATTATAGAACTTTTAGAGGACCATGTAAGAGAATATCTATATGACATCAAAGGGAGGGAAAGATTTCTTTAAGATGTTATACAAAGCAAAACCATAAAGGGAAAGATAAATAAATTTGACTCAATAAATTAAGAATTTCTATTCATCAATACACCATAAGAAAAGTAAAACAACAAAATAAAAGAAGATATTTGCAACACATATGACTGTCAAAGGAATAGTATAAGAATATGCAAGCAACTCCTATGAATCAAAAATAAAATGACAAACACATTTTAAAAAATGGGCAAAAGAGCAGATAATTCATAAATGAAGAACTCCAAATTATTAACAAACATCTGAAAAGATGATCAACTTTATTAGTAATCAGGGCATTAAAACCATAAAGAAATACTATTTCATACCTGTATTCATTTCCTAGGCTGCTGTTACAAATTACTACAAATTTGGTAGCTTGAAAAATGTTTTATTCTCTCACTTCTGGAGGGCAGAAGTACAAAAGCAAGGTGTTGGCAGTACTGTGCTCCCTCTGAAGGTTCCAGGGAACAATTCTTCCTTCTTCGAGCTTGTGGTGGCTATAATATAGGTATTTCTATGTCTGCCTAACTCCAGTCTCACACTGTCTCTCCTCCATGTCTGCTCCTCTTTTTGTCTCATAAGGAAACTTGTCAGTGGATTTAGGGCCTACCCAGATAATCCAGGATGATCTCGTCATGAGGTCCTTCCATTGTTTTATTTATTTTTTTATTATGTTAATCACCATACATTACATCATTAGTTTTTGATGTAGTGTTCCTTGATTCATTGTTTGCGTGTAACACCCAGTGCTCCATGAAGTACGTGCCCTCTTTAATACCCATCACCAGGCTAACCCATCCCCCCACCCTCTCCCCTCTAGAACCCTCTGTTTGTCAGAGTCCATAGACTCTCATGGTTC